CTCAAGATTTATTATCCAATTATTATTTATATCTTTAAATATGATTTAAGGATTAAAATAATAAATATGATTATAATAAAATGGTTGTTGATGGTTGTTTGAACTACTTAACATATCTTATTATTTTCAAAGTCAAAAGTTAGTAAATACTATTTAAATAAGATTTGATTTTATTTAATATTACTAAATGTTGATTATTTTATGCTAAAATGTTTAGTATAAATATATGCAAAATGGTTTTGCATTTAAGTGAAGTTTTTGATCCTAAATTTCTAAGTGTTAGAAAGAGAAGAAAGTGTTCTTCATAAAACTTCAAGAAAGAGTTCTTAAAATTCCCAAATAAAATTCATAAATATTCCTATACAAGAAAACCGAGTCTTTTCTACTAGCGAAGGAAAGTCGTCGGAACCGGGCTTCATAGGGTGGATACGTTTAGAGGGAAGACACTTGGATTCCTCTAGCGAGTAACCTCAAGTCGTTGAACTTACAACCGGGAACCGATTCCCTCATCCATCATCAATAGTGAAGGAGTTCAAGAAATTCGGTAAATATTTTTACTAGTATTTACTTTATAGTAACAAATCAAAATTTGTATATGATGCATGTTTTAAAGATGACGATCAGTTAATTCGCAATTAGTATGTACGGGTGTTGTATTTATACGATAAATACTTTAAAAATTTTAAATTCCGCTGCGTACAGCCCGTACGGTACTATCAAACCCAACAACCTGTGTATGCTATGTCTAGCTTTTTTCTTCCTAACACTATTTGTTCCAAGCTTGCAAGTTTGTTTGCTATGTTCTGGTGGAAGACTGGCAAATCTGAAAACAATGGACTGCACTTGAAGAGTTGGAACCTGCTGACTCTGTCAACTGACATGGGAGGCATTGGTTTTTGGACATGCACCTTATAAATAAAGCCTTGATAACCAAACAGATATGGAGAATACTAACCCAGCCCAACTTGTTAGTCAGCAAATGTAAATACTTCCCAGGTGACAATTTCTTCTTAGTTAAAAACAATCAGTCAGGTTCTTGGCTATGACATAACTGGATCAAAGTCAGAGACTCCTTTCACAGAGGAATCAGGTTTGAAGTCAAAGATGGTGCATCCATCAGGATCTTTGGTCACCCTTGGATTCCTGACCTGCATGGCTTCATACCCAGCCCTAGTAGAAATCCCCACATAAAGGTCACTTGGGTGAAGGAGCTGATAGATGATATAGGCGGGCATTGGAAAACAGACTTAATAAAAGAAGTCTTCACACTTCAGGAGCAAACTGCTATTCTAAGCATTAAAAGCTTGCAACCAGAGGAATGACAAGCAAATTTGGGATTGTGGCAAAAATGGTAAACACTCAGTAGCAAATTCCTATGCCTACCTGGTGGCTGAAAAATGGAGCTAAGTTGGACATTGATGGAACGAGCACATGGCAAGGTGAGGTAAAGGCGGAAAGGAAGAAACTCTGGAAGCTTAAAATCAAAAGGAAAATTAAGCATTTCATTTGGAGATGCCTGTACAATGCCTTACCTGTCAATGCTAACATATCCAAGAAAGGAATGAATATTGATCCCCTCTACCCAGCTTGTAGTGAAGACATAGAGACAACTGAACACCTCTTGTTTACTTTCTCTAAAGCTCAGATGATTTGGAAATTGGCTCCCCTCTCCTAGGATGGCCCTGAACTGATCAATACCAGCTTCAAACATTGGTGGAACAAGATATGCAACATCCCAGCATCCAAGGTCACATATGACAGAATTCATTTGTCTTCATTCTTGCTGTGGTGGATATGAAAAACCATCAAATTTATAGGATTCGCAGCAATGTAGGCGGCCAACAGATGCAGTGGTTAAAGTGGCTCTGGAGGAATGGGTCGAGTTTGATAGTATTTAGATTGTTTTCTTGCTCAGTTGTAGTCCAATTTTTGTTTGTTGTTACAGGCTTTTAACCTTTTTTCCGTTATGTACAGTTAGTGTGTTGGTTCTTTTGTCCTTTTGAGGGTTTAAACAAGGGTTCTATCTAGTGGTTTTTACCCTTTTTGCCACGATAGGAACTTCTTGCTGAGGCTCATATACTTGGTTATTATCTTGGGCAGGATGACTTCTAGAGCATGTAAATTGGTAGATAGTTTAGGACACTAGTTTGTAGTGTTCTCCTTCAACTCTATGGTTGTTAATGGGGCTAGTTAGCCACCATGCTTGTACATTGTTCTTTTGAGCTATAAAACCTCTAGTTTCAGACGAAAAAAAAAAGAAGAATATGAATTTCAAGTTTAAAAATATTTTATTACAATAATTATAATGCAACGAAAAATAATCAAATCAATAATATTTTTTTAAGAACATGTTCAATAATATAATTTTTATAGACCTTTTAATTATATTTCTGTGAACAAAATTATAGTGTATTTTAACTTTTAATAATGTAAAATAAACTGTAATTCATGTTATTTATATATTTTTCTCGTGCATCTCACGAATCCATATTAGTATAAAATTTACACTCACATGATGTCATTCCTTATGTTAAAAATTTATGCTAAAAATTAATGTTAATAGTTTGTAAATGATAGGAAGTGTGCTCCTGGTCAATTCAAAAGCTGACAGTACTCAAATAATAATCTATGCACTTCGTTATGTAGAAGTAAAATTAATAATTTTCTTTTAACAATAAAATATATTTAACTTTCTCTCTCTGCGGCAATTGAGCTTGAATCGGTGGTCGTCCCCCGGCTGCCTGGTGATGGCAGAGGCGGGGCTGTGGTGGGCGGAGGATTGTGGCAGATTCGGTCGGGTGGATGGTGCCTCGGTTGTTCGGCGGCGAAGGTGTCGGACTGTCGAACCTCCGCTGCGCTTCCATCCTTCTTCCCCTTTCCTTCGGTGTTGGGACTGGGGTGGACCATTGCTCTGACATCCGGCCAGTGGTGATGGCAGAGGTGGGGCAGTGGTGGGTGGTGGATTGTGGCGGCTTCGGGTGGTCGGAGACGTAGCTGCGCCCTCAGCATCTTCGTGGTTCGGGGGTTTATCGGGTGTGGTTGGACTTGCTCGTGGTGTTAGTGGGCCCGGTCACGTGGTGGTTCTGAGGAATCTTGGGTGTTGTGATAGTGGTTCGAGTTTGATTTCGGATGATGTTCTGGGGCATGGGATTTGACTTCGTTAGGCCACTGAGTTGGTGTTGGGTAGTTTCGGGTCGGTCCTCTTTGGCTGTGGGACTCACTCTGGATCGACTCGGTGTAATGCCCCAAATCAGTAATAATATTCAGAACGGTTTCACTGCTCGACTATAAGTGAAATCCGAAATTTTCAGAATTCCCGAGTTATATTATTTATGCTAAATGCTCAAATATGATAAATTATTCTTTGGAATAATTCTATCTCAAGTATAAGTCAAGATCAATCCACTAATTTGGTTTCTTAAATTATAGCAAGTCGATTCGAGAAAATTTCGATCTGAACCCTAATTTTGGTTCCGAGTTGTTTTCTAGTAAATTCCGAGCCTAGCCAAGTATGGGCATTTTTATACTTAGAATATTTTCTAAGTGTATAGAAATACCAAAGTTCAAGTCTTGATCATTTTAGAATCGAGACCTAGTCGAGCCTCGTGCCCGAGCCTCGGACCCGCGCCTTAGCCGCGCCCAAACCTGTCCAACCGAGCCCAAGGCTACCCCATGCCTTAACATTATTTCTCAAAAAATTTTCTAAGTGTTGGAGGGCTTTGTTCACCCTTCATTCCCGGCCAAAACCATTCCCGCGCAGCCCAGCCCACGCCCTCGCGCCAGCCCGCGTCCCGCGCCTAGGGCCCAACGCCCAGCCCAGCGACAGCCCTGCCAGCCCACTTTCTTGAGCCCAAATGGCAAAGTTTCGGCCCACTTTCACCCAAGACCCCTTAATTCGTGTATTATACACTTAATAAGGATCAATTTAAGCTAATATGGCCTAAGAAAGATTAGCCAAAGTCAACAAGAGATTAGACAAAGTGGAGCATGGGCACAACATTATTTTAATCAAGTAGTGCATGCCTTTGTCCCCTAGTCTTGAGACACCTCTGACCAGACCTGCCACCAGACCCTAATGCTCTGAATTCTCCACCCAAAATGTTCACTAAACCGAGAATAACCAGGTCAAAGCATGCCCAAAGTCTTGGCCTCATTTCCCATGCTCATGAGTGGAGAAAAGTCATCATTTGTGGCCTCCCATGAGCCACCTTGTACACTCCACCCCTCACCACTATAAAAGACCATTCTTCAGTCCATTTGCAGCCCTTTCACAACTTGAAGCCCGAGCATATAGTTAGAGTTTGAGAGAAAATTTGAGAGGCCTTACCTTGGCACCTTGCTCGCGCGCGCGGTCCCGGGGGAGAGGAGTACCGCACCTCAGGCCACACCAAGTGACTTCTCTCTGACTTATCATTCTCCAAGAATTCTTGGATTTTTATAAGTCTTGGGAGTTAGTATTTTCCAGCCTAAAGCCATCACACCATACCAAGTCATCCCAAAGCCGCTCCTAGCCAACCCAAGCCCTAGCTAAGCCAAAGCTCTCGTTCGGTGAAGGTTAGCCTGAACCATCTTCTTCCCATAATTATTATGATGTTTTAAGATTTTTCATGTAGAGAAATCGAACATGCATGCATTTAAGTATGAGTTCCGAATTTTTATAAATTAGGGCTTTAAAAATAAAATTTTAGTTCCAAACATGTTAAAGTCGAGATGAGTAGCTAAATCACCCTTAAAAATCATGTTATTGATGAAGTTAAAGTTTGGGCAAGTTTAGAGTTGGGTTGGTTGGTCAAATCATCCTTGAAAATATGCTAATTTGGTCATTCGAACCCTAGTTCCATACATGCAAGATATGACACATGCATTAGCCCACATTGTCATCATTTTTGATGTAGTATATTCGGCCTTGAGTAGTTTTGTAAGTTATGTATGTTGGTTCGAACGTTAAGTGCTCGTACGGGCCGTATAAGCTGTAATAGCCCAATTCTGTATTAATAAAAATGATAGTTTTTAGTTCCAAGTTGAACTATTTCTTTTTATTAATACTGCCCTTCTTGAGTTCAGAGCCCAATTATCAGCTATTCAATCTCAGCTATTAATTCCAGTCCATTTATTTTTAGTAATGGATTTTATTCAGATGGAATCATTTATTCAAGTTGACAAATAATCGAAACCGAGTATGTTTCGATAAATCGTCCAAGTCTAGCCGTGTCCGGAACCGAGTCGTTCGGTCACGACTATCGCGCCTAGTTCGCACCTAGCCATTTCTCGAGCCCTAGTAGTCCCGAGTCTTGTTCGAGCCCTAGCCGTGCTCATAGCCTTACTTAGAATATTTTCTAAGTATGAGTCGATCTTTTAGCGAGCCCTAGATAAGTCCCTCGGCCAAAGAAAACCGCACCTAGCATTGTGCGCGACCCCAAGATTTCTCGCGCCAAGGGTTCGCGAGTCGAGCCATGCCGAGAGGGTCTAAGTGTAGCCGGGAGTTTATGGGATTTTTCTAAGTATTTTTGGGCTCATTAACCAGCCATCATTAAGCCTTGGAGAGTTAGCAATGCTTGGCCCAAGATGTGGTGCATTTTCAGCCCGCGCCCAGAGCAAGTGCCGCGCTAGTCCAGGGCCGCGTGCAGACCAGCGCGTCCAGGCCCAGCGCCAGCAGCGGCAGGTCTACTTCTTGAGCCCAATTCTTGAAGTTTCGGCCCACTTTCCTCAAGACCCAAATGCTGCGGTTATTAAGGACTTAATGGGGATTAATTTGAGCTAAGATGGCCCTAAGAAAGTATTAAGAATAATCAATAGTCCTTAGCCTAAGTTAGTAGTGTGCACATGTGATTATTTTAATCTAATGTGTAAGGGATTGTCTCCCACTCATTACCAGACCTGACCTGACTTATTCCCTCAGCATTTGTGCCCTGAGAAGCTCTCCAAAAACCGTGCAAGATGCTGCCCATCAGCTCCCAAGTCCCTATGTGCATGTGGAGTGGGAAAATGCACTCATTTTGGTCTCCCACCATTCCACCTAGCTAACTCCGCCCCTCAACCTATAAAAGGGTCACTCTCCAGCCCCTTTGCAGCTCTTGGACTCATAAAAACTCGGACATATTAAGAGAAATCAAAGGGAAGGTCGAACTCAACTCACCTTGGCCGTCCGCACGCGCGCGAGCTCGGGAAAGGGAGCCACCAAGGTCCAACCACTTGCAGCCATTTTCTCTCGAGGCTTAGCACTTTCTAAGTGTTTCTTAGATTTTCTTAAGTCTTTTGAGACCATCAAAGCTCAGCATTTTAGCACCAAAGTCGAGGCCAAGTCCCAAGGGCTGCGAGTTAGCCCGTGTAGTAGCCTTAGCACCATTTCGTTCTTGGTGAAAGGTAAACTCATGTTTATCATTTTTCCTAGCTTAATAATGATAAAATAGGAATTATCATGTTGAAAAGTGATGCCATGCATGTTCATAATATGGAGTTCCGAATTTTTGAAGTTTAGCCCCTTAAATTCGAATTTTATGATGCACGCATGAGTTGGCCGAGATTAGTAGCTTAAAAATCCTCAAAAATCATGAGAATAGCATTGGTAAAGATTGGCATGCTTTGAGTTCATATGTTCGGTCAAGTTGCTAAGTGAAATTGAGCCATTTTCACCCCAGAACCAAGTCTATGTGCATGCATGTTTTGACCAATGTTCTAGCCTCCCTAGCCATGGTTTTTGATGCTTAGTATTCGGCCCTAAGTCCTATTGCATGTTGAGCATGTTCATTTTCGTGCCCTAGTGTGGCCACGTGCCTAATCGGCCCCATAAGCCCATCTCTAAATCCAACCAAGGTCTCATAGTTATTCTTGGCATTTTTATGTGTCATTTATCATGTTGAGTTGATTTGGGTTGGTAGTAACCGGATTAGTTGTCGGAAGTTCGGCGAAGGACCGGCTAGGGTCACCAGCCGCGCCAGTCGCACGTATCGTGCCCGTGCCGCGTAGCAGAGGCCAGGCAGTGCCTCTGTCCGTGCCCGCGCCTAGCGCTCGCGAGGCACCGCAGCCCCCAGTGCACGCGACAGCGCCCAACAGCGCTTGTCCGTGCCAGTGTGCGAGGCCTTGGCGCCAGTCGCGCCCCAGCGTCTCCGACAGCGCCCGGCAGCGCTGTCCCAGTGTCATGCACGCGTGACCTCGATGATGAAGATCGCGTGTCCCGATTGCCGATAAGCCACAAACCAGTGCCTTGAATCGCCGATAGGTGTCTCGAGGTTTGCACAACCGCACCCCTTGAAACGATAAAATTGCAAAAGAAATCGAAAAGATATCTAAGGCAAAGTGTTTGAACAAAAGTTCGGTTTTTCTATTAATTTCTGAATGAATATTTCGACTGACAAAAGGGCCTATTTATAGGTGCCAAACTAAGTCTATTCCTAATCTAAGAAGAACTCCCAATGCTTGGAAATAAATAAAGTCCTAAGGAACTAAATCACTAATTAAAGCAATAAAATATTAAAGTCCTAAACAATCTAGAAATCATAATAGAATAAGGAAACCAAATATCTAAGGGATTTTCGGGAAGTCTTGACTTGCACTCCAAGCCAAACATCCCAACTTGCCGCCTTAAGGACCCGCGCGCCTTGCCTTAGTCCTCGAGGACTAAGGTCGCGCCGCCCGTGCTAGCGCGTGCTCCTCCGTTGCGCGTTCCGCTCGAGTCCTCGCGTCCAACGGTCTTCTCGCGCGCGTCCCAACCACCCGAGGTCTTATCATGCGCATCCGTCGCATCGCCCTTGTCCGCGCCATTTGCCTTAACGCTCGCGGCCACTTTTTCCCTTCGCGCTAGTCGCGCGCTATCGCCCATCAGACCCTGGTCGCTGTCCTCGCTCGCCTCGCATGCTATGGCCTGCGTCTCACCCGCCTGTCGTGCTAACCTCTTGCGCGCGTGATAGGCTCGGCTCGAGGAGTTCTTCAGCTGCCTAGCCACATCCGCATCATTCCTGTCCCCTTCAAGCGCTTCCTTGTCCTCAAGGATGAAATCAGGGAATTACTCG